ATTTGACAATTCTCTAACCACCACATCATACTTAATTCCTTGAACCACCAAAGACAATTTATCCTGAATTAAAGAGGGTTGCGCTGTTTTTATAAATACTCTTTTAATTGCCAAGGGAGCTTGATTATCATCATCCAAGAAACACACTTCACCCCAAATACCTGCCACCTTATTCACTGCATTATCATTCCATGCACAACATGGTAATCCAGGTATTTCAATCCAAATAACCCTCTTTACCACTTTAAATCCATTAACCACCGGCCTGAAATTAGAGAAATAAGCATGAACAGAGGAGGCCTTCTTAAATTTAGAGCACAACAAATCTGAATCAAACTCCACATAAACCCAATCACCACCCAAATATTTTATTTGTAAATCATGGAACCCTTCCTCTTTCAACAAAACTAATAACTTTGGGATCAACCTAACACTTATTACTTGACAAAAGACTGATGGTTTTACAGCCAAGTTGTTAATTATATCCTTACTCTTAAGAGTAATAGATTTTTCAGCTTTATTCTGTTTGACAGCATCACCCTTCACAATATTAGCATAAGTCGCTCTCTGGGTAGTATTACTACCGCCACCAACAGCAGGCCCATGCACCTATGACTCCCCATACAAACGATTATCCTCCCTTCCAAACTTTGCCAAGGAGACAAAAACATGATAGCTGCCAATCCATAAGTCCCGAAGCTTCAATTCAATTCTTTTCTCATCTTGAACTCTAAGAAATCTAATGAACGCAAACCTTTTCCCAGCCTTGGACAATTTCCGGGCAATATAAACATCTGAAACCCTCCCATACTTCTCACATATGGACCACAGTTGCTTATTATCCATGTCAACAGGAAAATTAGTGAAAAAGAAAGGTGTAGAGACGTTATCAACATTTCACCCACTCTTTTTTTTATTGGCAATTTTCCATTCCCATGTATCTTTACGACTCATCTGCACTAACGAGAAGGAAGAATTGAAATATACAGTCAAGGAAAGGATCCCTACCAGAACATCGCAGCAGATAAAATCGACAACCAGAAAGCAGAAATCAACAATCAGGCAACCGGCGTTTGATCCCGCCGGTGAGCCTCCGAGATCGCCGGTCGATTAGGGTATAAAATAGGAGAGGATGCTTTTGGTAAGGTGTAGGTTATGAGATCTATTAAATTTTATTCTAATTAAATTAAATTAATTTATAAAATATTAAACAAAATCTAAAATAAAACGAAATGATATAATGAAAATTAAGTAATCTAACCACAATTTAAAGTTTATTTGAAAAAAATAACCCAAAAAAATTGTTTTTAGCAAAAATAACATTTTGGTCCGAAAAGAGCATTTCGGACCAAGAAAAAACACTTTTTTTTTACAAAAACAATACATTTCGGCACGTCATTCCGGATTTCAGACCAACATTCCGGATTCCAGACTGAAATTACAAATTTCAAAAAAAAAACTCTGGAATTTCAAAAGCAAGTCCGAAAATCCGATGAACAATTTCGGAATTTTGAGAAAAAATATTTTTAACTTAAGTCTAACAAAAGGTTAAACAAACATAATAAATGTAAACTATATCGATATTAATGCATAAAATCAAACATTTTATTATAAAACGGTGATATTAAATACTTTGAAAAAACACATTTCAGATATAAATGAAGATATTTAGAAAAAAAAAATTGAAAAAAAAAACAAAAAATAACTCAGAAATTTGAAGATCAAACCGGAAATGGATCACTATTTGAAAAGAAATTGAAAAAGCAATTCAGAATAAGACATTTCTAAAAAATGATTATTTTTTAAAAATAAAAAAAATTGTTATTTTCTAAAACTTATTTATATAGATTAAATTATTTAATTTTCCATGATACAAATGTTATTTTATAAGGGAAATGACACAAATACCCTACGAACTTTCTAGGGTTGGTCCATTTAGTCCCTAAACTATTTTCATGGCTTTATGAGGGAACGAAGTCGTTTTTGTCGAGTCGATTACGTCCTTTTGGCCAAAGTGAAGGGGTCACCGGGTTACCCCTTTGACACATAGACATTTTTTGACTTTGAACAACCCCACTCGATAAACTCAAAACTATTCATCTTCTTCCCCACCCTAAACCCATCTTAATTATAACTCCATAACCAACTCACCTTTTTCGCTTTCTTCACATTTTTTCCCATGTCTGCTCTCCACTTTATCATCATCGATATTTTTTCACACTCTCCAGTGGATTTCTCTCTTCCATTACTATGCACACCGTCTTTTAAAACAACCTAAATTCTCATTTCCTTTTAAATCCATCCGATTCTCCTCTTGATGCTGCACATCTCATCAACAATCAACATCCACCATATCTATGGCGAAAACACCTTCTTCCAGGGACTTCATGTTTCCTTGCACAGATACATCACTGAATCATCAGCAATCATCATCATTGAATCCATGGCGAAAACACCACCAAGGTCGAAAATGAGCACATTCTTTTCTCAAACTCTACTGCATTCTTGTCTATTATTATTAAGTGATGATTGCACTAGTAGGTTTGTTAATGATATGTATCATGTTTAAACTGGCGATAGCTCTGGCGTATTTGGTGGCCTAGCGTTGAGAGTCGTTGAAGTAATCAGGTACGGTGATAACTATGTTTTTGACAGATGAACCAACGAAAGCTTCGAAAATCTCGTGCATTTTGATGAGTACCATGGAAGAGATCTCTTCTGCTACAAATTGCTTACTTCCATCTTTGTAATTGTTCCCGATAATTGGTTTCTCTCCAGGCCCTGGTGTGATTTTGAATGGCCATAACTTCATGTCGTCTTTCACACTTAATCTCCTTCCAATTAGTCGTTTGGCGTCTGTTTTGTTATCAAAACAATTATGAGAAAAAATTCAAGAAATTATAACATTAGATCTAGCTCCTAGCCACAATAATAAATAAATTTTGAACAACTTTCAAAATCGAAGATAAAACGCCCAATTCTAAAGGACTTTCAGTTGCATATGGATTCATCGATGAATTATGAAGTGACTTGGCTTTTTAAGTTTGACTATTTGGCTGACTTGGCTTTTAACACTAGTAAATACAGTTTTTTATCTTTCCATGTGGCATCTTTACCTGTTAATTTAGGTAACAGAGACTAAAAATACAGGTTGTTTATGACTTTGTTCTCTCAAAAAACAACGAAAATACTTTAGAGACTAAATGGACCAACCCTAGAAAGTTCGTATGGTGTTTGTGTCATTTCCCCGTATTTTATATGCATCAAAGGACCATCCATAAGAAACTAAAAACAACAATGATCAAAAATGTATAATTTTTAATAATTATCCCCAACACGATATTTTTTACTAATCTGGGACCAATCGTAAAATTTTATCAATTTTTATTTTATATAATGTTGGGTTGGTTTGGCATTTGGAAAGTATTTTATACTAAATAAAGTATAATAAACATGATGTTTATATAAAGAAAACAAAGTTGAAAAATACGAAAGCAAGATGAACATGTGATACTTGTGTAATCTGTAAATCAAAACACGAAATCCAAGAATTTGAACTCTCATTCTATTATAAATTGCAACAAATAATCCTACCAAAATTCTTCAGCTTTTTGACACTTCCTATACATCCTCTTTCTCGATATCATTTGATTCGAAAGTTGAATTTTGTCGAGATATTTGTAATCCTGAAGTCTGCTTGCGGCGGAAGGTAGGGATCCTCATTCCCTTTTCATCATAAAGAATAGCTTCATCCTCATCATCAGGAACCCTACATTTCTCCCCTAAAATTATGGTTTTCTTCCAAATAGAATCCTCATGGCTCAACTTATTCTTTCCACGTTTTGTTTCCTTTTTTAACGCCTTCTTGTACCCTCCAATAGATCTCATGCTCATACTGGATGACAATTTCCCCTTTTGCGATGCATTTGAGCTTGATCGGACGTGAAAAGATGCCGCCCTTAGTTTCACCATTGCAGGTGGTAGTGGAAGTGGTTTATTGATTGTTTCCGGTGGTGGTGGAAGTGGTTCGATGTTGGTTTCTCGTGGTGGTGGTAAATCGAAAGACCGGTGGTTGTCCCTTTTATCATCGATTCTCACCTCGAACGTTTGTGTTTCTTCATCTGCTAACGCTTGTCGATTCGTTAATGGAATGGATGTTCGTCGTTTCTTCTTGGGGGCTCCACAAAGGAATGAAACGATTGTGATTACGGTTGACACAAAAGCAAATATGAACGTGAATGATAGCAATGGATTGTGTGGAGAACTCTCACGTGTTGGAAAGTTTCTCACCATTGCTGTTCAGGATTTATAGAAGAAGAACGATGACAACATGAAGCTCGGATTATTTTGGAACAAGAGAATGATCATTTCAAGTTGGATTGGAAGATGGATGTCAAAATTTGTCATCTGAAATGTTGTTTTACGCGAAAGAGATTGCTGGAATTGTGGACTTTGTAGAAAAGAAAGGAGAGGCCACGAACAATGCATCATTGTCCTTTCTATATTTGTACAAAACCAAAATCAGATCATAGATATATAAAAAAAATTGTTACTATATTCTTACAGGTGAGCATGATGAGCTATTAGGCCAAAACTAAACATCAAACCGCATGCATCGGCTTTTGTAATCTTAAAATCGCAATGTGTTGTGTTTCAAGTGGTGCAGGTTCAACCGCACAATATAATGGTGTGTTTTTTTTATTGTGGTGCAGGTTTAAAAACGCAACAAAACAGAAATGAAACAATTTTTAATTAAAATTTTAGTACCCAACACGTCCTAACCCATAAACCTGAAACAAATTTTCTGTTTTACCTTTTTAGCCAACAATCGGTAATGGGGGTTGGACGATTGAAGATAGTGGCCTGGTGAGAATTCCAATAAATTAGGCTCAACAAGCCTTAGGTTATGTTTGAATTGAGAAAGAAAATTGAATTATCGTGATACCTGCATTCTGCTGCTTCAGTTTATTCAAGTCCAAATGAAATAATGAATATCAGTCAACCAATATAATTAATTTATAACATAATTAATTAATATATTAATATATGTATAATTATAATGGTGCGGTTTGTTTTTTAGGGTTGATTCCTTGGATAAAACCACACGAAACCGACTTTGGTCGGTTTTATCAAATTATAAACTGCACAATCGTTTTTTGTATTGGTTTCAATTTGTTACGATTTTTTGGTTTATTTGATTCGGTTTTTGCTCATTTCTATTTTTTTTTTTTTTGTAGTTATACACTTATTAGCGAAGGACGTCTCATATAATTTTTAGTTTATATAACAGAAACGTGTGTCTATATA